TTTTTTTTTTTTTTTTTTTTTTTTTTTTTTTTAAAGATGACCGGTAAGGGGATCTTAACCCTCGACTTGGTGTTGTCAGCACCACGCTCAGCCAGTGAGCGAACCGGCCATCCCTATATGGGATCCGAACCCGTGGCCTTGGTGTTATCAGCACCGCACTCTACCGAGTGAGCCACAGGCCGGCCCAGCATTTGTATTCTAAAGCAGACTTTGTTGCTTTGCCTGGGCCCAGTTTCCACCTGAAATCGCAGCAGGAGTTGGCAGTCCAGCAGTACCGTGAGCGTTCTCCTGAGATGTGAGCATAAGCAGAAGACACAGAAGCCCCTGGCTGCACCAACGCCAGCCCCCAGATGAGCCCAAGTCGATTTGCTTTCATGTTATTAGCTTTATTTTTTCCCCTTTCCCTGCCACTTCCATTGTTGGTTAATGACAAATGGCTGGACACAAAAGGCTATGTTCTGCCCTCTGAACATGCGTGTGCCAGCAGATACTGCACAAGTGGAATGGGAGGACACGAAAGCAAAACGCGGCCCATTTGTAGTCAGTCATTTATCCTTAGTCTAAAACAGTTAAAGCAGAAACACAATAAAATTAAAATCCAAACTTCTCATTGCCCTTCTCATCAGTTGTCTTAAGATCTCGGTTTTCAAACCATGTACAGTTTTGCCCCCGTTTACATGATGTTGATGGAAACTCTGTGCCAGTCATTCAGGCAAGGATGGGTTCAACGGTGTTAAACAGGTTTCTTAGATACAGGACTTCTCGGAGTCTCTAATTTATAAATGAGCATTGGAAAGCTTCCAGAGACAAGAGTTTCTCAAACTTACTTGGCCATGAAACCCATTCCCATTCCCAATCCCCACTGTGGGACACCAATGATCTTCTCGTGAACATTAGATTTCCACAGATCTGTTTTCTGATAGAGCTGCAGTCCCATGCCTTATTATCTAGAGTTCGAATTTACTTGTGTTAACCCGCCCCCCCCCCAAAAAACAGGGTTTCTAGCTCAATTTCCATCCTCTCCTACAGTTTTGTTTAGCTATTTCTACCTCATCAAAGGTGTCAGGTTTGCAAAATGACGCAGCGTTTTCTTCATCATCTTGCAACATCTGGAGGTCTTTCTGAGCCACCTTCCCCCAGCAGCATGCTGGGTGCAGCTGGCAGAGCAAAACTGCTCATGAGCAACCCAACTAGTTAGAAATAGCTCTGGGCCAGCAGCAGGGACTTTCCTCTTCCTTTTCTCTCTTTTTTTCCCTTTTCTTTTCTTTACCAACAATAAGAACTTATAGATTTTTATTCACCAACAGGCATAGGTGATTTCTGATCACTGATAATATCAACTGGTGACAAGATAGTTATTGAAAAAACTGATAAAAAGGTGAGTCAGCAAATTCCTATTTTTTGTTTGTTGTTAAGTAAGGTGGGCAGTGTAGTGGTGCACTCTACTAGCAGCCAGGGCCCAGGTTCCAGCACTTGCTCTGTAGCACCCAGCCCAGCCACGTTCACAATAGTGACAGTCCCTAGCTATTGACTCCTAGGCAGCATGCTAGTTACATTATCCAGTCATCAATTTTTTCAGTCATTATTTTTCAATTCTAATAACAATCCATCAAGGTAGGCGGCATTATTCCTACTTTGCACATGAAGAGCTAGAAAGACCCAGAGGAGGGACGAAGTGGGCTCAAAGTCACACAGGTAGCAAGCCACAGGGCCAGAATGTCAGCCTCACACTGCTGGACTCCGAAGATGAGGCTTTTTTCCTGCAATTATATTTCTCAGCTTTTAAACATTGGAACATTCTGTAATAGGCTACTTTAACCTCATTGGGCTGCAGTTTCCTTCTCTGTAAAATGAGTTGAGGAAACTGGACTGGCTGGTCTCTAAGTTCCTAATCCCAGGGAAAACACTATATTTTTATTAGTGACAACGACGACATCACTATCGAACGCTATCACTTCTTGAACACTTACCATGTATTAAATACTAGTCTAAGTGCTTTTTACATATTATCTCCAGATTCACATCACAATCTGATGAATACAGATGAGGAAACTGAGGCACCTGGGGCACTGGAGGTTTCCAAGTACACCTGTGGCCCCTCAGCAACCAAGATTCCTCTCATGGGTCCAAGGGTGTAAGCGGGGAGCACACTAGAGCAAGGGACATCTGAACAGGGAGATGAGCTCAGGGTACTAGGATGCTCATGGAGGCTGAGACAGACCAGCTACCTCTACACCCCAAAACGTAATGAAAATGCATGGCTCCCCTGGTTGGGGGAACTGCTGATGGCTTTGAAGGTGTCCCCATAGAAACTTAACTTCAGTGTTAGGAATTTCTCTAGACTCCTAGACACTGGTTTCAAGGTTTTGCCAAGGTCTTAGCAAACCTCCTTGCTTTTCTTTCCCTTTCCCTCTGCTTTTATTTTATCTCTCAAGGGGAATATTTTGGTACTCACAAGCACTCCCCAAAGACCTTACACTCTATTTTTGGCAAACCTTCCAAGAATATTTTTTTGTCAGCTGATGGGAGCAACATACATTAGGTAGCAGTTTGGGAAAATACTAACTCATGTAATCTTTTTTAAAAACTTTATTTTACTTAGGTGACTAGAGATGTTATTCATTTCACTTCTTTGCAGAGAAATAAACTGGGTTTGAATTAGACTAAAACATTTGTGGAATATGTTTTCCCTGGTGGGGGAAATACCACTGATGACCCAGCATTGATTTTTCTGCTGATCCTAGATAAAATTTCCAGTGTCTATCTTAAATATCTGTTGGCCCAGTTCTGGATCCATTCATTTATTTCTCTGAAGTTATTGATGACTTAATAACTTGGTTATGAAAGGCCATCAATAAATGTGTAGAAATAAATGAGTTAGTCTAGTGTGTGCTTTGCTTGTGCACTGGGGGTTGAAGATAAATGTGCCAAGAGAAAGCTGGCCTTTGCAGTCACCCTGGGACAGGGATGGTATCTGATGAGGCAGAGCAGAGAGCAGGCCCCTGGGAGGGTCCAGATGGGCAGAGGACAGCGGGCAGCTTCCATCTATCTGGATTATTCTGAAGTAGAGAGCCGCTCACACCTCAAGGACAATAGATGTGAGCAGTCATCAGAAGTGGAATCCGGAACTTGGTGGTATTTTTCTTCATCACTAGGAATATTTCTGCTCTTTCA